AGTACGCGGAGTATCTGGGGAGCTGGGAGATGAGAACTGGCGACTTTGTAGTACAACTACAATACGCGGAGCAATCTGTGGAGCTGGAAGCTGAGAATGGGTGACTTTGATGACTTTGTAGTACAACTTTAGTACGCGGAGTATCTGGGGAGCTGGAAGCTGAGAACTGGCGACTTTTCAGTACGACAACTTTAGTGCGGGGAGTATCTGGGGAGCTGGAAGGTGAGAACTGGCGACTTTGCAGTACAACTTTAGTACGCGGAGTATCCGGGGAGCTGGAAGATGAGAACTGGCGACTTTGTAGTACAACTTTAGTACGCGGAGTAGCTGGGGAGCTGGAAGACGAGAACTGGCGACTTTGTAGTACAACTCTAGTACGCGGGGCAAGCCGTGGAGCTGGAAGCTGAGAACTGGCGACTTTGTAGTACAACTTTATTTACTACGCGGCTGAGTCATCCCTATTCTGTATTTTGCAAAATGCATGAACAACGTTTTTTCCTGTGAGACAGTTGACGGTGGTTGCTTCGCTTTCGCTCCATTGATCGGGTCCAACTTGTTTTGTCAAAGAACATCGCAGCTCGGCGAATCAGCCTGCCACATGCCCATTTCCTATAGGTTTATTCTTTTGGAAACTTCCGCCGCCGGCTTGCCCGGGAACTACTTGTAATAAAGTATGATTGAATTGTTGTTCCTCTTTCGTTGGATTTTGTAAGAAGCTGGGGAGACTTGTGTAGCCGAGGCTCGAATGGCAAGCAGGTGTGCCATCAGCGCATGCAACCTTTGGGACACAGAAACCGCAACCAGGCTTCAAGTGAGACAGCCCGATGAAACACCACGGTGAGGCGGTGAGACGTTGTTATGTCAATTCAGTCCCAGGAAAAGCTTGAAAAGGGACAAATCAATGAGGAAAACGATTCCTTTTTTCGAGTCTCGTTTAAAATCTTAAACGGAAGTGCTCTTTCAATCGTCGTGATCTTTCAAAGAACCACTTGGAGCCCCAATGAGCAATATTCTCTCGAAGAAGGGCTTTGTTGGCATTGACATGGAGCAATGGCAAAAAAAGGGCCTTAGGAATGGCCATTGTTGTTGGCACTTACGACCTAACTTTACAAGGGGTGTTTTTCCTTTTGTGACCTGGTGATTCATTTGCCCAGTGACTTGGAGGGTTTTGGATGTCGCGAATGGAGATGCTTTGAAGATAGAACCAGCTATGGCCTTTAGGAGGCAATTACGTGATGAGTGCGAGAGTCCATTTGGTGAGGCGAATGCGCTGCGTCTTTCGATGACAAATGGCAGAAAGGGATGAGCTCATGTACGGAGCCTGTACCGGGCGCTGATTGATAGAGTGCAAATTCTGCTACAAAGCACGGGTGCTTTGGTGTTCAACACTTTGGGAACGGCCCCACAAATAAATGTATTGTTAGGACCCTAGAGTAGGCCGGAGTTCTGTTGTTTGTTCCCCCCCGTCTAGTCTTTCTGCGCATTTCAGAAAGACAAACTTGGCAGCGCCCAAGCTTGCAGTACTGCCAAGCCCGAAGTAGCCCGATCGCCGAATTGGAATAAATGAGCGATCAGTATCGACATTGCGTTAGAAAAGTTGATGAGTTAAAACTCCCCACAGTACTCTGCCTCACTTTGTGACGTCACGCACGCTGCGCAGGCAAAAACACATGCAAAACGACACACGTGGCTGGCCCCGAAGGCGAGCCCAGCCAGCCCAGTCTTCACTGTAACCTCTTGGGGTCCTGGCCCACTGTTGTCCACGACCTGACGACGCTTCCAAACGAAGCCCGGCGCTTCCAAATCGACACAAAGCAGCAGTCCTGGTCTCGATTTGGAGTGATCCTCAGAAGGCACTTAGTAAGGCGAAAGCGACACGTCTTTCATGCCTAGCAGCGACTATCTAGTTGGAATCCCACTATTTGCAACCCAAGATCGTTGCACAGGACATACTCCCACCCAGCAGGCAGGCGGGAAGCAATCCAGAAGAATGAGATGCATTCAGTTCGTTCTGTCGTTCTGGGGAACAACTACTATCTTAGGCATTGGCATGTACTTTGTTGTGAATTATATGGGCTATGTTGTCTGCAATCTTGAAGGTTCAATGTTTCGCGGCGTTTTTTGCTAAATGTTGCTATGAAGTGGCTTCTTCCATTGGCTATGTCTACATTTGCTGAAATGAAGCCAAGCAAAGAGGCCAATTTGTTCAGACGGAGACTCGAAACAAGACTGTAAAACAAAGGAAGGTGCGAATGGATGTATCTCAAGTTGTTGTTTGCCTGCCCAGCCCTGAGCGTAGGTGCTTGATGCGAGAACAAGCATGTGGGCTTTTCACATCCAATGCACTTTGGCACTCTCACTACTCCTCTGCCATTGCCACAAAGACACGGTTTCCTAATTCAGGGGTTGATGAAAAAGAGTCCGCTATTCTCTGTCAGACATGCCAATTTGACATCAGGAGTGCTGCTGTCCCTCAAGTTTCAACCACATGCAATCCTCAGGATTCCTTTCGAGAGTGTCTGAGTCTATATAAACAACGACGTCATGTCTTGGCCAAGCAATGAGAATAAACCAAGTCCGCCTGCCTGCCAAGTTTGGGACACCGGAAAGTCTGGCACAGGTTCCAATGCCGCAAATTTGGAAAAATGCTCACATTTGCATCACAGAACAAGCGTGCCTTGCTGGTGGCGCAACAGAGGCTGCGGTGCGGCAGGCCTTCTTTTGTAGCCAAGAGTTCAAACATACTTTACTGAGCTGCTGGCATTCTCAAAAGCTGCTGCTATTGAGCTTCTCACTGAGCCAGCTAACCAAGTATCAACGCGTTTTGCGCCGACCTCGTTCCAAAACGAAACCATGATCTTCGGGCCATTACTCAACTTGCCTCAAGGGGACCAGCAGATTCCTTCCAAGAGGAATCGCCATCTATGCCCTCTGCACTGATCAAATCTGTGAGGTCGGATGCGAAGTAGGGTGAACCGTCCTTCTGGCAAAGTATAATATGCTCTTGGAAGGCTGTTGGATCGTTTTAAGGCTAAGAGTCTAAGCAGGTGATTTGGAACCAGCTGAAACTAGAAGCAAGTGAAGAAGCGAAGTCAGCAAGAACTAGAAGATATGCCCATTGGCTTGACTAGACTCATATTCTACTGCAGGAACAACAAGAGATGTGCTTCAAGGAATAATCAAAGTAGACACCAAGACCTTTCTTCATGCTCTTTTGTTTTCTTTCGTGAATTTCGTGACAAATGCTGACCAGTCCTGAAATCGCCACGCTTCCCCACTGCCCAGCAACGTTGCCTTACTGCAATACGATGGGATCTGTGCTGTTGAGAACCAAACTGTTTCAAGATCTTTCTCCTCCGAGTATTGTTCGAAGAAAAAGTATGCATTTGACAGCCTCTGTCTTCTTTCCACCTTTCCGAGGGTCCTCCGGCTCCTGCTCCAATTCTTTGCCTCAGATTTTCACGCAACCTGAAACAGTATGTTTTTGCATGGCACATTCTCAATACATGCTTGCGACACCCTCATTCTTCGAAACGCCCACAGCAAAACCTGAGGAGCTGAGGACCTTGCAGAGCTCAGAGCCTGCTAGGCTGTCGTTCCAAAGCCTGGAAACGAAATGGTTTAAAGCTTCAAGAATCTTCAAGAATGTCTAGGGGCAGCTTAAGCTCAGTGAGGTCAGCAGCTTGGAAGTGCAAATCCAAGGCACTTCTCCAGCGTATGATCTCCACGTAGAATGTCCACAAGGACATGCCTGGACAAAAGCCAAATTGTCTTCCCACCGGCAGAGAAGAGAAGACTTACACTTACACGATGCACACAATCTTAGCATGCTTTCGATCATGCAATCTGAGACTGTCTAGGAACAAGCCCATCAAGCATCATGTTCTCGAACAATGCCAGGAAGCCCCCATTCGATGTTCAAGCAGCTTGAGCCACTTGATCTCCCGCTTCAAAAGAATTGGAAGTCGTTTGCAACTGTCTCATTACTTGCAGAAGTTGCAACAAAGGAATACCTTTGCGCTGGATCGAGTTGACCTGCCTTTTGATAGACAGGTCAGGGCCCTGTTGCCAAGCGGCTCTCCTGCAAACGCCGCTCAACCCACACAGGCCAAAAGCATAGCCTGGGATTGCCAAAGATTGGAATGTTCGGAAAGCACGGCTTGAGCAAGGGCTTGAACAGTAAGAGTTGGAGGAATGAGAGGAAAGCAAGGACCGAAAGTTTGCTGTCTTTGGTTGGCATGAGAATCCAGAAAGATTTCCGGCCCCGTCCTTGCTGATTGACAGCGCCAAAGCCTGATAAGACTCAAGGATTTCAGTGTGAAATCAAGAATTGGTCGTAGCATGAGGCAAGCACCTACAATCTTCAAGCCGTTTATGAATGAGTTTCTAGGGTATTCTAGAAGCGACTACAGCTGAGCGGCTAACTACACATATGAGGCAGATGGAGAGTCGATCTTGCCCTTTTCAGCAAGTCAAAACAATCAAGTGCATCAATGATCAAAGTGTGTATATATATATATACATTTCTTTCCAAGGTTGACTCTCGTAGCTACGGTGGTCCGCACACAATCCCTTTTCCTCAGTCATCTTGCCAGTATGGTCTTCAACCTGCCATGTCCAGCAGGATAATTGCGTTGGGTTACCTGCGTCAGCAGGCCTGACACAATCAGACCCTTGTGGTATCCTTCCGGTCACTCCGGAAACCACTCCCCGTGGGGTACTTAAAAAGTGGTCTGAAAGCGGTCACTCCGCTAGATTGTGCCAGATCGCAGATCCCTGCGCAAGCCCCAGGCTAGCCGGCTAGCCCTTCAAGGGTAAGGGTGACCCCACCGGGGGCCCTTACACCAGGGTGGGCTGGGTGGGAAAAA